TATTAATTTAAATAATAATATATAAAATATATTTTAATATTGTTTTATTTAATATTGCTTAAAATATATTTTGTTTTGTTCTATTATTCGACATAATTTTTAATCCATTCCTTGAAAGAAGCCACTCTAGTGTATACATCGGGCCATCCCCGAGCACATGGTCTACCAAAAGAGACAATACCAATCTGAACACCATTAGAAACAAGAGGACTACCGGAATCTCCCTGAAAAATTTAATAAAGATAACTATTTAATTATTTAATATAAATCAAGCTTTTATTTAATTTAATTCACACACCTCACATTTAATTATCATAAAAATTCTGATATTATTACTTATATATTTAGTCTTATATTGCAAATGTTTTTTTCTAAGATTATATTTATTAATATATATTGTAGATTTAATAGATAACTTTGAAATTTATAATTTTATGTTTTTTGAATAAATAAAATTGCAAATTATATCTGCTATCAGATATAATTTGGTGTTTATATCTTAAAATCTAAAATCTCTACATGCATATGCATTAAAAAGATAAATAACGAGGAAGGAATACTATTTTCGTTTATTATATTTTGTTTTATGCAGCAATGCAAAATTTGAAATAATAGAAAGTAATACTTACGTGGCACGCGCCTTCACCTATTCTGGTGAGTGTGCAAATGTGACTAAATTGTACTTTTCTCTGTTTTTGATGGCATTTATTTAAATCATAAACATTTAACTCAATCTCTTGCAACTTGTCAGGAGTTATACCACCAGTCTAAGAAAATAAAAAATTTTTTGTAAATTCAAGCACTAATATTATTATATATCCAACATTAGTTTATTTATTCGTGTGTGTGCATTTATGAATTTCTCTATTAAAATAAATAAAGAATTTGAAATTTACAAGATAAATAACTTGAGTTATTATTATGTAGTTTTATATTATTTATGTAAATAATTTTAAGAACTTTTTCCACTTATTGTGAACTTTGTTTAATTATAATAAGAAAATAATATTTATAATAATTATTTCTTATTATTTTTATAGCACAAGTTTTCAATTGATATCCTAAAGATTTTTGGAAGATATTGTACGTTCTAAAGATATTTTGAAGACGTCCACTAAAATGTGCTAAAATGTGAGTTAATTTAAAGTAATGTCAATTTTTTAACACAAACTTTTATATTTTACTAACTATTTAAAAAATATTTGATTAATATTAAAATTAAGATTGCATTTGTTACATGGAATAATGCTTGTTTACCTTAATTCTTCCCCATCCAGATAAGATGCAGTAAGAGCCACTGGGAGCAATGTCGGTAGTTGCAAGTGATATAGGCTGTATATATTTGGTATATTTAATTGGAGTTGACAGAATAAGTAAACCAATGTCATTGATTATTCTAACAGAATCGAAAGCCTCGTGAAGGATGGCTTGTTTAGCTTTGTAGACAGTACCATTTTCGCTTAGCAGATTTGTGCCGGCGTGAATAGTTAATGATTTGAGAGCACTGGGATTCAAGCGATAGCTGTTAAAAATATTTTAGTAGATTAGATTCTCAGATGATTTTAAAAAAGGGAAGATTCCATTTGCCTACAAATCGATTGCCTACAGCATCATTTTCCTACATTACTTTTGCCGCCAGTTCGCACAAAAATGAGTGTCTACATGCATTTTTGCGCACAAGTAAAAATTTCAAAAATGACATCACATTTGCCTACATGTTTTATTGCCTACATGAATTATTATCTATAGATCTTTTATTTGTACGCAAAAGTGCATATAGGCAATTGAACTGTAGGCAATAATTTTTATGCGTAAATGAACTGTCGGCAAAAATAATGTAGGCAAACAATGCTATAGGCAATCGACTTATAGACAAAAGGAACCATTTCATTTTAAACATTGTTATCTTAGTATGACAAATATAATTATATTCTATTCGTAAGTGCATGTATAAATAATATAAAACAGAAATAAAGAATGTACCCTACTAAACAGTGAGCGGCAGTGAGAATGGTAGAACGATTGATGATGGATCCACCGCAGGAATGACGTCCGGATTTTTTCAAAGATACTTGATACGGGAACTTGCCGATTGGCGCATCCCTTCCACCAACAATGTGAGTGTCTGGAAAGCCTGTAAGATGTGAAATAAAATGTAAAACAATATAAATCAGATTTAAGATAAAATATTTTTTAATAAACAATTGCAAATATCATGACGGATCATTCTGTCCATGAACAATTACTATTAACATATAATGTACAACGCAACATTTTTTAATGTTAATGTCTGAAAAATGTAAGCAATTTAATCATTTATTGAATCATTATAAAAAAGTTAATAAATATTTGTTTAGCAATTATTATTTTAAAATCATTCGGGTCTATTTTTAACATCTCCATATTAAAATATAGTTAATAATTTTATTTATGATATTATTTAAAAAATAACAAAAATTTCTTATAAAGTAATGTATAAATTTTGTAGTTTTTTTTTAATCATAGAAAATATAAAAGATTCAAACTTTGTATAATTTCACTGTTTTACTTGACAATTTATAAATTAAAGAAAACTGATTTGAATAATAAGAATTAATCTTATATATTTTTGCTTACCATAGGCAGTTATCGCTAAACAAGCGACTATCAAAGTAAAGAACGTATACATATTGAAAGTGTGCACAGTACTGATAATAATGAATCTTTTTTGTACGTTTATATAGGCCATTTTAAGCACTTCATCAAG